GTCTTTTCATTGGGATGTTGATATGTTTAATGCTGTTAAACAACACGTCTAGTACTTTATATTTAAATGGACATTTATCTGGAGATTTTCACACAACATGGCAGTCCTGCTGCCATAAACTCCATCTCCTTCCATCAGCACTTTTATATATTTTGTAAATTTGTTATATCTTTTTTGCATTGAATCTGCAGCAATCATTCAAATTCTGTCTGATGTGTTATATTTTTTTCAAGCTGTACATAATATGGATGAGTTTATGTTTGGAAAATAAAATATTTAGTTTCACTCTCTGGTCCCTCCTCTTCCCTGCTGTCGAGCATTCGGCTGTCTGGGCCCCCATTCGCATTCATGATCACATTCACATGCGGGCCTCCTCCGCCACCTCTTCATTTACACTTATAGGAAACTGTAGAGAAGAGCAAATCATTTGCCTAATGACTTGTAGCATTTGTCAAGCCGCGGGCACACCGCTGTTGACAAACCGACTCATAATGCTTTGTTTGCGGTGGGAAGGAGCTACATGGCCACATACGGAGAAACGTGTAGTCACTTGGCATTAAGCCGGAGAGAGGGCTCTTTGAGTGTTTACATCGGACTTAGACTGGCCAAATCAGGGCCAGTAGCTAATGCACTGTTTGCTGTCTGAATGGGGGGTCTTGTCATTCACTAATATGCTGCTGATGGAGGTAAACATGCTGCCCTGCCAAAGACAAGCAGCTGTCTGTCTGGGAGGGAAGTGGATTCCCAGCATGCACCTGGAAGCTACAAGAGACATGATGTGATGTAAAGAATGAATATCACACATACTGGTACTCTTATTAAAGTATTCACCTCTCACAAAAGTATCTGTAGTACATATACACCAATATCTGTGGTATAAAACACCAGTATCTGTAGTACATATACACCAATATGTAGTATATACACACCACTATTTGTATTATAAATAGACCAGTATCCATAGTACAAATACACCAGGATATGTAGTATATACACACCAGTAACTATCTGTATTATAAATATTAGCAAGTATTAGAAAGTCCCATGCTGTTTATTATTCTCACTTTAACAGATGAAAATAAACAAGTGAGATGGGAACATTTTTGTTTTTCATTTCGTTGCATAATAATTGTGCACACATAGATATTCTCCTAAGAAAGCCAAAACCTCACTTTTACTTTCTTAAATATTCAGGTTTGAGGTTTAATAACATTTTGGATTGACCGAGAGCTCTGTAGTTGTTCAATAATAAAATGAATCCTCAAAAATACAACTTGCCTAATAATTGTGCACGCAGTGTATGTGTTTTCTTTTGTGTATAATCACCTGAAAACAAGATTTGTTGTGCTTTTGTCACCTTAGATTAGAATACACCACCATCCAGAACGCACAAAACAAACAGGTTATTTTGGTTCCAGTTGGATGCACCCTGCAACCTCACCACCAGATAGCGCCACATCCCACACACTGCACCTTTAAAATATGAAGACAAAGAAACACTCCAACCAAATCAGCGTAAAGATTATTAAAAGTACAAATTAGCACATGCGTGCAACAACATTTCCAGGTCAATGAACCAACACTGGAGCAGAGTTAATTGAATATTTTTCATCATTGACGGAACTTTTTTAACAATGGTGGAAAAATCTGATGGATCGGGAAATCCCACGTTCACAGAGTCTGGTAGGTTCAGTCTCCCATGTGGCAGCGATGAGAAGTCGTCTGTCCGAGGCAATAATGGGAAAAAAACATTGATCTGCTTCGTGTGTGTTGACATGAAAAGTGACCGTACGGTTGGTGCTGTTTCTCCACTCATCTTTTCTCTACATACCCTTCCAGATACACAATCTATGAGCTTGATCTGTATATTAATGATTCAAAAAACACACACGTTCAGCATCAAGAGCGCTGCCACCGCCTGTGTGTCAGTCGAAAACTCAAATTATGTTGCAAGACAGATGTAATCATTTCCAAAATTCAAAACTAAAACTGTGTGTGAACACCAAATCTTTCATCATGACTCACACTGAATGGACAGCTAGTGACGTTCACTGAATTCATCAAAAGGTCTATTTGATTAGAATCACAGACTCCGAGTAATAATAGATTGTGACAGAATTTTTACAACACAGTTTGACGCCTCGAGCAGGCCAACAGTTTGCTGATGTGCTTCAGCGGTCGCAGCTTTACGGAGAGTGGCAAAGAGAAAAACACTCTCCAGCCATGGCTGCAGATCTGTGAGGCTCCACTCACGCACAACTTTGAGCTAGATGCTAACATCAGCATGCTAATGTACTCACAATAACAAAGCATGTGGATGTTCATCATCTCAGTTCAGTGTGTTAGCATGCTAACATCACTCAAGTACAACTGAGGCTGATGGCCGTGCGATTAGTTTTGCAGGTATTTGATCATAAAACATGTCGATTTTGATCTGGTGATGAAGGTAGATCAAAGGTCCCCGCGTCAAAGTTCTAACAATTCATCCTCTGATGTCCGATTGTCAAGATATTTTAAATCAACCCATACCAGCTTGAGGAAAAGTCAGAGGATCACCAAAGTTTATCCTCTAGAACATCTGTAACAAATTTCTTGTCAATCCATCCAACAGATATTTCACTCTGAGCCATAGACTGTATTTAAGAAGTGGACATATTCCCCCTGAAATCACTCATTGGTCTGTGGACTGTCATTTTTGAAGCCTTGAGCATGTTGCCCGCCGCCATCTTTGTTTTTGTCCATCGCCATCTTGTTTTTTGAACTGAAAACAAACTGTGAAAGGGTTAAAGTTGTTAACTCCCAGACCAGACAGCGTAGACAACCGAGCTGTAAATCACCGCGTAGCCCCGCCCTAAAGCATTCCCTGCTTTATGGTCTGTTTGACTCTAAATGGACCATAATTTACTAAATGAACATCATGCTGTATTGAAGAAGACTTGAAACTAGAGATTGAGACCATGAACTCATGTTCACAATGTTTATAAAATCTGTTTAAAGCGATTTGAAAGTTTTGTTTTCTAGGAAGACAGTGAGCCAAAGCATAAAGGCAAAGCTACACAGTAATGGCTTAAAGTTCCCATATTGTAGAAAATGAGATGTACTTGTTTTTTTCTATTGTAAAGCCAATTTAGTTGCTATATAAATACTGTGAAAGTAAGCTTCAGTAAGGTTGTGATGTCAGAATGACAGTCACCTGAAGTGACGCTAAACTCTGCTGCAGTGACGCTATGAGCGCTGGTACCGCTGACCAATCAGAGCAGACTGGGCTTTCTTCCGAGAGAGAGAGCTCTTAAAGAGACAGGCACTAAAACGAAGCGTTTCAGAATAAGGCTGACTACAGATATATTCAGACAGACCGCATGAGAAAAATAAAAATGTTTTTTGAACATGAAAGCATGTGAACATAGAAACCAGAATCCAGAATCCAGAACATAGAATCCAGTAGAAACCTTAAATACATGGATGAACCTGAAAGTGAGGATTATGTCTTCTTTAAAAACAACGTTAATCTCTTGGAGTGGATCGGTTTAAGCCACATTAAATCTCCACCAATTTAATGTTGAAAGATGATCAAATCTGGATATTCCCAATGCGGTGAATACTTTTCCACTGTAACAAACCACAAAGTCAGTGTGTACCAGCTTATTTTACTTTAATAGAGTTGAGACAAATTAAAAAGGAAAATACAGTCCCAGTTTTTAAAACACAAATATAAAAACCGTAAGATAGAAAAGACAAATCTCTAAAAGTCTCAAAGCTTTTTGCATTGTTGGTTTGATAAAAGACCTGATATACAACCTGCAACATAAAGCAATAAAAATATAGTCTGTTGTGTTAGGTTATACTGTAAACTCAAAAGCTTGCATTCTACTTGATGTATGTATCCAGAACAATAAAAACGGGAGGGCACAAACTCTCCACACATTTAAATATAGTTGACAATTCACACAGCAGTACTGGGGCAAACTAACACTTTCCTAATCACAATACAGTTATTACTCCAAGCCAATTAATTAATGAACATTCGTGCACGGGTTGAAATAGTGGTGTCGTATTTACATGTTTATTAAATGTCAACACAGCCAGGTAAAAAACAAACAAAAGAAACACACCACTTGTAATCTACGGTGACGGTCTGTCCAGCTCTGCTGTTCTAGTGTTGGAACACAAGCAGGGTGTCCTCTGCCAGGAGAACGTGCCGGGACACATTATGGGCTGCTGGACGAGGAGCTGCCATTATTGCCGGGGCCACACAGTCACCAACTAGGAACTCTGGGGGAGCTTCAGCGCAACAGAACGCCTCCAAGTTGATAAAGAGTTCCTCTGCTTGGTCAGGAACAGGTCCTCGTGATCAGCTGGTGGCGTTAATAGGTGGAAGGGTTGCGACACTGTGTAGCCCTTTAGGTTTGCTGGTGAAAATGAGTAACCCTGCCCCGCTTTCTACCACGTTCGTGCCGAACTAGTATTGGCAGAAATTTGTTCAAAAATTAAATAGTGGTGAAAATATACATTACAAAAAAACAAAAAAAAACAAAAAAAAAAAAAACAAGTCTATTGTGGTTCTGGTTTGAGATTATTTGGACCGATGGTTATGATGTTAAAATGGAAAGTGCCCAAGTGTCCTAGTTTTAAAGCATGTAAATAATAAAATGGCTTACTTTAGTCCTTAAATGGCTTGGTGAAAATACTTTCTCAAAGTGATGTACACTAGAATACCTGAAGGACATTTCCAGGATAGCTAGAAGGAATACTTTCCTAATGGGGTGTAAGGGGGGGGGGGGGGGGGGGGGGGG